TTTTCTTCAAATGGATACAATTGAATCTCTAGTTTCCATTTTTGACGCAATAAGCATCATCCACTAATATCACCAAGAGTAGTTTTCCACGAAATGATTTTTTTTTTCTTTTTTGGAACACGCATGAAATAGATTAAAAGAGAAACATAACAAATAAAATAACGTTTTTTTTGGGTTTGTAATCACACACGACTTCAGGTGTCAAAATGTATAAAAGACAGATGATGACGAACGCTGCTTCGTCCTCCAATCATTAGCTCATCAAACACTGTAACAAGTAGAAAACTCTTTTTCTTTTGGTCTCCTTCTAATTCCATTTCTCTACTTCTGATACTGTTATCAATTATTCTGATGACATTAAAAAATAATAAAGTATATATGGGTTGATGCTTGCTTGCTTGTGTGTGAAAATCAATAGACGCGAGCTTTAGGAGGGAAGGTCTCAACCTAACCATGTGAACAGGCCTATACTCCAACCTCACCTTCTCATCTTCCCAGTACCCTAATGTATGCTTCATCCATTCTCCATCCTCTCTTTTCTGCACCCACACATTCATTCATTATATATTTGAGAGCTGAGTGGTTATATCATACATCATCTTCATATATATATATATATATATATAAGCGAGGAAGGGAAACAAACCGTGAAATCTTCCCGAGCATGTGCTCCTCTGCTTTCCTTTCGTGCTTCCGCTGAATGCATTGTTATTGAAGGTTTATTGAATGCATTGTCAATGAATAACAAATAAATGATCAATGACTCTGTTTTTTTTTTAACAGTTTTCTTGTTTTTTTTTGTTCTTCCAAATAAATTCTATACTATCATATATTTTCACAATTTCTTAAAACATGAAAAATTAAATCAAATCTAAAGTTGAAGAAAAAGAAAAGAAAATTATTAAAACATACATTCACTCGGTCAATTAGCCAAGGACAAAAGAGAGAAAATGTGAAAGAAAAAGACTAACAAAAGAATAAGACGTTAAGAACATTTTGATATTATTATTTTTTAAAAATAACCTATATAAAAAAACTAGATATCATATATCATTATATAATGTATATATAAATATTTTTTATTTTAATCAATTTTGTTCGGTTTATTCAGTTTAATCGGTTATAAACCTAATCATATCCAAATCTTCTAACTTCTATAAAATCATATTTATTCGGTTTATATGGTATATACCAAATCTAAATCATATTATCTATTTTGGTTTGGTATCAATATATTAGACTTTTTTCCATATGTTAATGCAAGTAGCCATGCATGCACGTTACCAAGTGTTTAGTAGGTCCACTATACTACAAAGTATGACAATTGTATAGAACCTCGTAATATTATTGTTTGCTTATGACGCAAGATTCAATCGTCAAGATCAAAATTATTAATTTATTATAACAAATAGAAAATCAATGAAAATCGGATCATACGATGGAACTGATAACAAAAATCAGTTCCCCATGTTCAGATTGGCCGGAGGACGAAAATGATCGACCGAGAGACCCCAAATGTTAAAGTCAACCTCCTCGATCCGCCACTTCTCCGTCATCTGTCTCCGATGGTTCGCCGACGCTTCACCATACCTGAAAACAGTAACTGACGTTTTCCCACCGTGAGCAATGTTCACATCATCCACGTACCTATAATCATCCATCACCGATTCTGTGCTGGTCTCCCAGAAAACGTCGCCTTCCTTGGTCCGCACACTCAGAAGCCTCGAGTCCTCAAATTGAATCATCAGTCCCGATCTTTGGCTAAAATAACCCCATATCGTATGATGAATGATATCAAAATTTGGACCGCTTTGAGCATCTCTAACCGCCGGACTCGTCTCCAGTTTCAATATAAAGCAATCTTCTCCGTTGATAATCTTCTCTCCAATGCACGTTGCGTCGAGGAACATATTCGCGGTAGAACGAGGATCTAGACCCTAGTAACAACAAACCAGTACGTACCAATTCAACATCAAAAAATAATTATGAAAGTGTTGGTTACGAATAAAACATTCGATTTGGCCTCCAAAAATTTTAGAAATTTTTAATATAGAAAAAACCTTAATTTCGGCCCCAAAATTTTTTAGAGTTCTTAAGAAATGTTTTAGTTCTTTCAAAATCTCAGATTCGGCCTTGGTTACAGTACCTGTAAAAATCGGCGGAGAGGTCTAGGTGTTCCGGTAGACGAAGGTGTTTGCTGGTTAGAAGAATGTCGCCACGAAACCCGACCGTTGCTACCGCATATGACTTTACATCCAGAGACAACAAGCTCCAAACACCAAAGATCTGGATCCTTCTGCCACAATATGAAACCACCTATTTCATCGTTGTTTTTAAGATTAACGTTGGAGGATTCATCTCCTTGATGAAACTCTGACACTGTCATCTTCACTTGTCCAATGACGCACATACTGTTCACCGCGTTTAACGCTGCCGGTCCTCCCGTCGCCGCTATGTATTGTTGCACTATATATTTCGCCGTCGACGCTTGCTAAAATAAAATAAGTGAGAGTACTAATTAATTAAATCATCAAAAGTTAAACTATAGAGTGGTTTCTAATTATGTGACTTACAATGGATGAATCTTTGACAGGCTTATGAACAGAGTGACCAACTTGGACCTGGAGAGGTATAAGAGGCGATCCAAGGAGGTAGAGAAGAAAACGAAGCTCGTTGATGCGTGCAGCGATTAGCGGTTGCGACAACTTTTCAGACGTTTGAGCTTTCATCCACGTCATCATATTCTGACACCTCAGTGCAACGTTATTGCCCATGCCGGAGAACAACTCCTCCGGTATCGGAATTTCCAAAACCGTCTCCAGGCCATCGTCTCTGTCTATGTTCGGACACAACTTCCTCATGCACTTCCCACTCCTTCGGTTCTTCTTCTTCTTATGTTCTTCTGTTGTTCTATGGGCGAGTGTCTGGATGAAACCTACAAATGGTTCGAAGATTGTCAGCACGAATATATTTCATCAAACCTCTAATTCTTGTTTATTTTTTCCTCGTTTTCTTTTGTTAATTTGGTGTTTCAAAACTATTTTTTCAATCATGTTTAATTATTTCCAAGGCCATATTTGTGGTTCTCCTTTGTTTTAGGTTCTTCTATTATTCATTTTCCTAAGTTAGCTTTGTTCTTGAGAACAAAATTAATATGTCAGCCACAAGTAATATGCATGGGAATTAATTCCAAGAATATGATTGTTAATAAGTATATGTGAATGCAAAACAATATATATGGACGGCCATGCCATACAAATCTACTCTATTAAAATAGAGTCACTATTTTTATCTACTACAAAGAAATCATATAAGACCATTTCATTAATTATTTAGTATAATATATTAAATTATTTAGGTTAATCAATCAAATATATATCATATATATGCTGAAAATAATAGATTTATATTTTATTTTTAGTTATAACAGAATCGGTTGAGAGAAAATCTAACAAAATTTTACTAAAAGTTTAAATATTTTATTATTAAATAACATAATAATGCATTTCGTAATTAATAATATCATACTATTATACATTAATATTAATTAAAATTTCACTATAATAACAAAAAAAGAATCCTATACTATTTTATAAATTTCAAAGTAAAAAATTAAAGAATATTATATATTAATAATGTTGAACAAAAACCTACACCAATTAGATTTTAGATTTACACAATATATAACATAAAAATATAAATTATATATTTAAAATATTTACATTAATATTAAATAAATTTTAAAAAATGAAAAATATACTCGCACGAACGTGCAGGTAAAAAACTCTAGTTAAAATCTTAAAGTTTTCTTTTGTAGTTAATTTACTCAATGGTTTTTCTCTGGTATATATAAATTCACTCAGTGGTTTTTTGAAAAATAAATTAGATTTGGCGGGTTGTTTAATTTTTCTTGTGATAACTGAGTGGAAGAAGTTTTATTTTAAATTTGATTTGATTGGTCTTTGGTTTGTCCTCGTCTTTAGGATTTGTTGATTAAATTTATAATAACATACTAGTCTTTGTAAACAAGCAAATATATTCGACTTGTATACCGCTTAAACTGATAGTTTGGTCTTGGGTTGCCCTCTTCTTTTGGATTCCGGTAATATTTTTCCATTCGTAATAGAAAAATATGCATTTATAAACAATGATAATATATTATCTAACAATGCTAATCAACAACTAAAAACATCAAAGTTTTACAAACTTCTCATATTCAAGCCAAAAATGCTCATCATATCTAAGAAGATAAAAAATATAAGGTTATAATGGATATGCTATTTAAGAGATCTAATAAATGTTTGTTAAAAGTTAGAAACTACGAAATCAATTAAGAAATAATATGATTTTAATTAAATCTTATAATATTTTAAAAGTCCATATAAAATAAAGTACATTAACAAAACAAATATCATTTAGATTGATCAATTTTAGATATACTATATTTAGAAAATTGACATAAAATTAACAAACACATTTTTAAAATAAAAAGAATACAAGTTTTTCAAAGCTACAAGGATTGTAATCACATAATATTATAAACATTGAAACTTCATAATATTTTAAAATTTTCATGTAAATATCAAATTATCAATATAATTTATCAAATCACATTTTAATTTAATAAGCTTTCCAAAAATATTTCTTCACATTAAAATAAAAATTAATATTATGTAGCTCATTAATAACTTTTAATAATTTAACATTTCTGATATTAAAATAAAAAAATATTTCCTAATGTATGTTAAACAATTATCATATGTATCATGAAATATAGAATTTATATAAAATGATCTAAACTTATAAAAATTAAATTTAAAATTGCTAGGAATTTTAATATGTGTCTCTTATATTCCATAATAATTTAAGCTATAAGTCATTAAAGGTTCCCATATAGGATTTTAAACCAATAATAATAATATGCCAAATCATTATTTTAAAAATGTTCAACCCTCTAAAATACATTTTCTCTAAAATAAAATAGAAATTTATACAAAATATGGTAAACGTACAAAAAAATATTAAATCAATTTTATATAGATATTATTTTGAAAATTAAAATACATTTTAAGAGCAAATATGAGTTTCAAAAAAAAAATCAAATATAACTTTTAAAGTATATATAAAATAATCTAAACTAACAAAAAAATATCATTTTAAATTAATCAACTTGATATATACTATTTTGGTGTATCTATATATATATATACCAAGTTACTTCATTTTTATGATTTTACTTTGCTTTTTACCTTATTTGATTTTTTTTTGACAATGCCAAAGATCTCTTTGCTCTGCAAGTTGGTTTTGAAATATAGTTTTAATGTGCGTTGACTAATTTGATAATTATATGTTCAATTATTTATCTAATTATCAATTACTTTTGAAAATTAGATTATTAATAACTTTGGAAGTAGTCATTTCTTAATTATGTATACTAGCTACTTTTAGATCGGATTGTTTATGTATGAAACTAGAGGAAAAAGAAGAGAGTCAGCATATAACCAAGTTATACATTAAAATAGATTTGTAGACATTACAATTACAACAGTTTGGCCAACATCTATTTCTACATTAACACTAGATCATGTTTTCATCCATAGACTGCAAATATTTAGCTGTTAAAATTACACATACAAACCATTCCAGTACTCCATGTTTTGTATATAGTTATTATCCAACATGTATAATGGAATGTCGTAACTGGTATCCGTTGGTGCAAATTCGAAATCAGTTGGTGCATCATTGACTTCAACAGAAAGCGATGAAGTTGAACTGTTTGTTGATGTTTCTTGAACAACAAGTCGTTCTGAAAGTTTTCGAATCTCATTCTGAGCCTCAGTCAGTTGTTCTGTCAGTTTCAGCACCTGTAAAATAACATGCAAACATATAGTTGATATCAATGACATGCCAGCCATTAAGTGGAGAAGTAAAGAGTGATGCTTGTATAATTCATCACTTGTACCGAAAACATATTGTAAAACATAATTTTCTTGACAAAAGTTATGGCGATTGGACCCATTCATATATTTTTTTTGGCCTAGACATACAAAGATTTTACTAACAAAGTAAACTTTTCTTTTTTCATTATCCATCCGACGTATTGTATAAACATAGTAATAAATCAAATCAATCAAACGAGGATATATTATAGCATGGCGGCCCAACGTAGAAAAGTTATTGTACGATGCTTTTACTTTGTGCTAACCATGTGCTATATCTAGAGGCCAGCTGAGATTGTACGGACGAACTGTTTTAAACATTGAACAGGGTAAAAAGATGACGATCGAATCCACTCCTGTCATTTGTACTAAGCCCTTCGCCTCCTAGTTATCAGCTTACCGGATTGAAATATTATACTACTGTTTATAAATTAGTTTAAAAAAAAAATAATAATTACATCTAAATTTTTTTAACAAAACTACCTAATAACCACATTATCATATATCTATATATACATAGTTTCGAACATAATCATCAAACGTAATTCAAGAATATTCGAAAAGGGCACAAGTTAGTCATCTTTTTATAAACATCCAACATCAGGAAATTCAGCAAAAACATATTTTTAAAATTGTTATAATGATGAAGAAGATAAAATTTTATACCTGAGACTCGAGCTGACATTGGCCGAGGATGACTGACTCGTGTTGGCTCTTGAGTTTAGCGTACTCTTCCTCGAGTTTCTTGTTCTTCCACCTTGCACGGCGGTTCTGGAACCATACAGCCACCTGTCTCGGGTCAAGACCTAACTCTCCGGCGATCTTCTCTTTCCTCCCTGACTCGAGCTTGTGCTCATTCTCGAACAAGTATTCTAGCATAATCACTTGCTCATCGGTCAACTTCCTCTTCCTAAACATTCCTCCCATCGCCCCCACGTCATCTTCGTTTGTGGCTGACGACCCTTTGCTCCTCCTCTTCCTCCGCCGCTTCACTGGCTTTGATCCGTCGCCTGGTGATGACGATCCATCGATCTGGTTAACGATGATGCACTGGCTATGGGTTTCGGCCATGTATGGGTACACTTGAGAGATTAGCACCGTTTGATCCATTCTTTTTCTCTCTCTCTAGTTTTTCAGACAAGAGTTGCTGTTTTTCTCTGACTATATTGGAAGGAGAATGATGGTGAGGTTGAGTCTTATAGATGCCTTTTATAAGCTGGAAGATTGTGACCTTATTCTTGGGTTCTCTCTCCCTTTATTTACATTTATGCCATCTGTTATTTATTTTTGTTAGGGGAGTGCGTTGAATTTTTAATGATTGTGAGAGGATGATATACTCCATACACGTTCAAATATAGATATTTTAGATTCTATGGGATAAACATTTGAGGACAATACACTTATATGTTCAGTTATAGAGATGTTCTTAGTGCAATATACTGTTCTAAATTGAGAAGCATGCAATTTACTGTATCTTAATGTTCTTTCTTTTTCGTAAAAATTCTTGCAGCTTGTTCATTAAATAATTTGGTAAAATTACTTATCAAATCATTTACATGTATGCATGTATGTTGGAACATTTTCAGAAGTATATTTGTGTTCAAAATTATAATGATCATTCCAAACTTTAATTAAAAAAGTATTTTAGTTATGATAAGAAAATAAGAAGAATGCAGCATTTCATCATAATTTGCATTAGTAAAACAGTATAACATATGAAATAAAAGTGGCTGACCATTGTTGACAACATGCGTGGTGTGGATCCCGAAGGCGATTAAATTCTGAAGTAATCAAGTGATCTAACCTTGTGGATAACTATTGGATATTAATATGAGTTTTGTTTAATTTAAAATCGTGTTTGTCTACAATCTGTATAAATTCTAGTATATACAAGCTGCCTTTGTCTTTGCTTGTTTTAGTTTATACTGTTAATTAGTTGCTCAAAAAAAAGTTTATACTTAATTAGTCAATTTTATAGGAGGGGTTTCTTTGTTTTCGGAGCTCGAGGCCACTCATTTCCATTTGAAAAGCAATATGCTCATCCTTTTTTCGCTTTCCCTACTGAGTATTATTTTACACTACCTACTATAGTGGCTATAAATCTACAACAACGAAATCTTCCCGAGTATTTTCCTTTTATTTGAAACACCATCGTTCTTAATTTTTCTTCATCAAGAGTGTTATAATATTCCGCCGGTCGATTAATTGAACGTTACCTTCTTTGCGTTGTATGTATGCTAACCATTAAAAACTCTTATGCTCATCAGGCTAACGGAAAACCTTTTTTTTTTTTTAACTAATCTCATTTTATTTATAAATCAATTGGTTACAAAACTTACCAATAACTAGACAACGTTCAACTAGAATATATCCAACCAAAACGCCGGAAACACAAAATTCATATAGAATCGGTTACCCAGATTAAAGGTTGAAGGTGTGTGAGAGCATTATTATCAAGGGTCCCTTAGCTGGAGTTCCTTAGCATAAAATGGTAAGATTATCAGTGGGACTTTTCCCAGACCCTTAAGGTGAAAACATGGAGACTGAGAGAGAAAAAGAAGGAAAAGTCTATTATCCCATACTATGTAATATATACGTGTATATGAAGTTAACATAGAAGTGTAGTAGAGTTGAGTTTGTATAGAGTATAAATACAGTATATTGTACATGTCAGTTATATTAATGAGAATGAATTTCTGTTACTAATATGGTATCAGAGCAAATCTGAACTTATTCTCTAACTATTTATTTAAGGACTGTCCTTAATAAAACACGACAAAAAAAATAGAACTTAAGGGAATTTTCCCAATCCTTCTAATAATGTTTTTCTTAGCTTTTAACTAAAAATGCTAAGAGATATCTCGTAAATTCCTTATTTAAAGGAAATCTTTTATTTAAGGGATTTTCCTTAACATTTTTAGTTAAAACTAAGGAATTTTATGATTAGGGACTTCTTCAGTTAAGAGACCGTTGATAATGATGCTCTGATACCTACGCCTACGGTCATATTTTGTAGAAGTATTCAAAATTGTATGGTGTAAGGAAAATATATCTAAATAAAATACGCACATTAAGCTAATAAAAATTGACCGAAGGTTTTGTCTTTTTGAACTCGTAGCTTTTATTCCTTTTACACGCATTGCGCCTGCTTTTAAGGGTTTCCAAACAAAAATATATACAGTTGACATGATTGAAGGCTTTAAATAGTACATGTTGCTAAAAGGAAAATAAATAGTAGTCTACACTTTCATTATAGAAAAATGGACACTTGATAAAAAATAAAATAAAGGCTATATATTGTGCCCTTTTTAGGTGTGTAATGCGTAAGACCAACATTATCGCTAGGACGTGAAAAAGTCCTTAGGCACAAAGTTTTATTTTTTTTTATTTCTTTTGTTCGAAAAACATTCACGAATTGCTAAAAACTCTCCACAAACGTTTGTTATTTAAGAGACATTTGACCTTGGTTTTACAAAAATGTGGGACCCCAACACTTAAGAAATGCTCTAAGAGCTGCCGATAATGTTGGTCTAAGAACTAGGAAACGAACAGGAATCATAGGAAAGTATATAATTAGGAAAAAATAAATAGTTCACAGAAGAAGATAAGAAAGTGTATTCCGACATTGAGTGACGCTATGCACGTGAGGTTCACGAGGCCTTCAAATGGGAATGGCGATAAAATTCAACTTATCTTCTGTACTTTTGTTACAGGTTTAAAGAAAAAAAAAAAAAAACAACAACAACAAGCAAAGTGCAAAATATTGTTTCAAGTTTCACTTAACTCCGTGTTTTATTTTATTTTTACCAAAATACGACTTGATGGCAAGAGACTAAAAATGTTACTTAGACCTTGTAATCAAATTTCAACCATATATATAAAAGATTTATCTCGATATATTTATAACCTTGTTGCCTTTGATATTTTGAATTCAGTATTTCGGGTAGTGTACGTTTCATTTTCTTCATCCAATTAGAATATGAAACGGATAAAGTTATGTTCGTTGTATGAAATCCTTAGGAAAAAAGAAAAAGGGGTATTTCAGATTATATAAGGATATTTCAGATTATTTCTTTAAAATAAAAAAATCTGACCAATCGTTGACTGACACGTGGGCAGTGGAGCCCATGAATAGTGTAAGGATTCATCCGGATCAATCCTTACATAAGGATTTTATTCTTAAAATCCTTAACTATTCATGGGACCCATTGATTATAAAATTAATATTTCCTTAAAGATTCTCCCTAATGATCCCTTGTTGCCGGTGGTTTTAGCTATTCTCACATTTAGAGGAAACACACATCATACAACTCACATATGTTAGAGTTCTTTTCCAGGCGTATAAATATTATAAATATAATTTTATAAAATTAATGGTGTCCACTGTCGGGCCATCATATTGTCTCTTACAAGTTTACTAGGATAAGACCCGCGCCTTGCGCGGAATGAAACTATTATTTTTATTATGTTTTGAAAAATGAAACAATAGTTCGGTTTCATTCGGATTATAGGTGTTCAATCCGGATATCGGGTTTCGGTTCGGCTCAATTTTTTGTCCGATTTTTTGGTATTTCGATTATTAAAATATAACTACTATTCTAAATCTATATGTACTTCAGTTTGATTTGGTTTAT